AGCTCTACACCTTGTTATCTCAGATTCTCCAGCATCTGCAGTTCCTACTATCTCTGAAACAAGTTCTTATACTTGTCTAAATTAATGGAAACAAATACACAAGAATGAGAAAAATCAAAACAGTAAGAAATGTGTCTTTTACACCTTGGACGACAAACGGAATGTAAGAATGCTGTAGGGGAAATGGTAAAAAGAATGAAACTACCAATATCTATTTCCACTTTATTCCAATTTCCTCATCACTGTATTTCAGTAAATGAGATAGATCCCAAGGTTAATCAATTACTTTTTTTTAAAACAATACTGTTAAGAAAACCCTACATGAGCCCTTGAATTACTGCCTCATCTGTGTCTAATTTGACCATTACACAATGTAATGTTCACACTGTAATGGAAAAGAAATATGCAAAGTTATCAGTCGGGATTATCAGTTCACTCCAAGGCACTCCAAGCACCTCCAACTCACACAGACTCACTACAAATCACTCTACATTATTCTGTGATGTGGCGGCTTCCGGCAGTCTTTTCCCCAGTGTGGTGGTCTCAGCCCTGCGGTGCAGTGTCCTGCCGTGGCAATTTTGTCCCAGTGAGGTGGTCATATTGGCGGTCTGGCTTAAATCGCCGGTGAATGCTTCCAGGCCCAGTATTCCAACCGCCCGGCATGGCTTCTTCACCAGGTAGCAGTCTTTTCCCAGCAGCATTTTGTTCAGCAGATGCTTTTCGCAATATGGCGTTTTTCATACAGGGTCGCGGTCTTGTCCTGGCGACTGTTTTCTTCAGAGGCTTTCAGCCCAGTTTTTCCAAAATCTGGCCTGTTGATTTCGTCCTGGCATTGCATTCTCATCATGGGTTGATGGACTCATTCCAGCTGTGTGTTTTGTCTATTGATCGGCTTCCTCTGAAACCAGGAGCCATTAAATGGACTGTGATAAACGATCTTAAAATTCATAAGTAACAATAAAAAGTAAATTTAAGTATGACTTCTGTCATTAATGCAGGTGCCATGGTAAGGTGGCTTATAACACTTTTCGTTGTATTTTTCTTGTAAGAGTACACAACAATAAATTCTAAATACCTCACTCCCGATTCCAATTCTCTCTCCCTCACTCCAACTCAATCTGAAACACTTCAAAATCACTCTACTGGCAACATGGTTACTAGCTGTCCATAATTTTCTAAGCCCATCTATTGATCTTTTTCAGCTGTCATACCTTCTTCAAAAATGGAAAATTTACGTGAGTTTATCATTTGCCTTTTTTTAGGGCATTTAACGAAGTTTTTACTGGAGTTTGGAATTTGCAGTTTATACAGACAGCATACCTATTTTCTAAGAACATATCTGTGGCTTTCAGTCAACAGCACTGAGGAATGAACTTTCTTTTGCTTTTAGGTGTTTCTAAATAGTTAACTGAAAAGTCAAAATGATAAATTTTAAAAGCTTTACTGAGGTACAATGAATAGGATTTTTTTTTAAGACTGTAATGGTATTTGGCACAAGAATGTAACACAATAGGATGATAAACTAAACTGCATGCAGCAAGTGGTTAGAGTCAGCTATGCAAACCCTGACAGCTTGACACAGACAGAATTAATTTCAAATTCCTTTTAAAATGTGGCAAATTAACAGAAGAGAAAATCAACTTGCAGGACAAGAGGAAGGGGCAGAGGAGCAACACTAGCTTAATAATCATGGAGAGAGTCAGCACAGGTACAACAGGTCAAAAGATCTTCTTCTGCCTGCTACTGGTCTATGATTCTGTGGTACACCCTGCTTTTCAGGACATCTGATCTTCAGGAAATTATTCCATTCTCTTGACACCTGCACACGTGATGTCCTCATTTAGTTCCTCCCTTTCCTCGTGTGTTTATCCCAAACATTTATATTGGGATAACAAAGTGTGGAGCTGGATGAACATAGCCGGCCAGGCAGCATCAGAGAAGCAGTAAAGCTGACGTTTCGGGTCTGGACCCTTCTTCAGAAATGGGGGAGAGGAAGGAGGCTCTGAAATAAATAGAGAGGCGGGGGGAGGCGACGATAGAAGGTGGATAGTGGAGAGAAGACAGACAGGTCAAGGAGGCGGGAAGGAAGCCAGTAAAGGTGAGTGTAGGTAGGGAGTTGGGATGGGAGTTGGTCAGTGAGGAGGGAGGGGCAGGTAGGTGGGAGAAAAGATGGACAGGTCAAGGAGGTGGGGCTGGTCTTGGGAGGAGATTGGGGAGGGTGGGGAAATTTTGAAGCTTGTAATGTCCACATTGAGACCATTGGGCTGCAGGGTTCCCAGGCACAATATGAGGTGCTGTTCCTCCAGCCTTCAGGTGGCATCGTTGTGGCACTGGAGACAGCCCAGGATGGACATGTCATCCAAGGAGTGGGAGGGGGAGTTGAAATGGTTCGCAACTGGGAGGTGTTGTCGTTTATCACGAACCAAGTGGTTGCACAAAGCATTCTCCAAGCCTCCGCTTGGTTTCCCCGATGTACAGGAGGCCACATCGGGAACAGCAGATACAATATACCACATTAGCGGAAGTGCAGGTGAACATCTGTTTAATGTGGAAGGTTTTCTTGGGGCCTGGGATGGAGGTGAGGGGGGAGGTGTAGGGGCAGGTGTAGCACCTCCTGCAGTTGCAGGGAAAAGTGCTGGGGGTGGTGGGGCTAGTGGGGAGTGTGGAGCAGACGAGGGAGGCCTGGAGGGATCGTGCTCTCCACAAGGCAGATAAGGGTGGGAAGGGAAATATGTCCTTGGTAGTGGGGTCAGATTGCAGGTGGCGGAAGTGGCAGAGAATGATGCGTTGATAAATATGCATTTTTTTTGGGATGTTTGCTTCTCACCCAATTTACACAAACATTGTTCTCCCTCCTAGTTTCTTCTTTGGTGTGCCTCCTGAAATAACTCTACTGTGGCCAGTATCCCATCACCGAGTCACCGTTTACACATGGAGTGTCCTTGATGCTGATCTAGTTCTCTCGGAGCCAGCTCTCAGAGTGAAAACAGAGCCTCCGACAGTCCTGTTCTTATCAGTCAGCCAGGGCTCCCTAATTGGACAAGATTAACAGCCCCATATCAGGGAAATCTTGTTCTAGGAAGTCTGCAAGTTACAATCACAACACCTCCCAATGTATCTTTTACAGACTTTAATTCTCATCTCTCTCTTGAAAGGGCGATCCTAATTTTAAAACACTGCCCTCTTGCTCTTGGCTGACCCACAAGAGGAAACATCCTTTCCACATCCACTGTGCCAAGGCTATTTAGTATCTTATACAATTCTATTGATTCACCCCCTCATTCTTCTAATCTCCAGAGGGAACAAGGCCAACTTGTCCAAACTATCCTCAAGTCAATCCATTCATTCCAGATATTAAACTAATAAACATCCTTTGAACTGTTTCCAACTTATTTATATCAATCCTTGAATAAGGAGACCAAAACTGCACACGTGGTGTAGCCACTTGTGCAATTAGCTGTGTTAATAGACATACTTAATATATTCAGAGTTTAAGTTCAACGTACAGGTTGGAACAAGTTAAAACATTTGAAAGCTCAGCACAAGAGAACAATAGCTGGTTAAGGCCTGAAATCTGGCATGTGGGAAAAAGTGGTTGGGGATCCATCAGCTCGAGGGTGAAATAGAGTACTTTGATAACATTCAGCGCAGAAAGCTTTGCTGAAGTTGCATAGCACATTTCCACAGAAGTAGACATGCACTCAATTTGTTTACTTGTTGAATTAAAAATACGACTGACAAACTAATATAAAAATGGCAACGAAAATATCTCCAGGCTGCAAATTGAAGTTGACACACTCAAAAGCCCAGGAAATACTGAAGCGCCTTTGGACAATATGGTTGGTTGGATTTGTAAACTGCAGCTCTGGAAAAAAAACTGCACAATCGTATAGTAGGTTTTGTTCTGGATACAGAGCATTGACTAATGCCTATCTACATGAATTGTTACGACTCACTGGAGGTGGTACACCGGAAATCAATTCGAGCTATTCTCAGGGTCATCACAAAAGTTCAAAGATTTTATGAAGTACATAAAGCTCCCCAATTTACCCGAATTTCAGTCCTACATCGATTGCAAGCACAGACCAGGCTTTTGTACT